TAAAAATGAACGACAAAATCCCTTCCATGACACAATAAAGGTATGTTGATGGCTGAGGCATGCAAAAAAACTGGATTGAAGAACATATTCAATAATAAATAAAAGAGGATAAAAAAATGACCAACCATGGTTAATGGCAAGTTATGCTTTTTAGGAACGAGGTTTTTGACGCCTTCCATTACAAATCGTGAGCTATGGCTGAGCAGTTTATTGAACATGCTAATAGTCTTCGTACCACCGCCATGATGCTCTTCCGTCGCTGTTGACTTTCCCAGTTGTGACACTGACCTAATTTTGCAAGCCTATGGATTAAGAACGTGATTCTATATGTAAATATGACCATTACCTCATTTTACGAACGAAGCGAATGGCAGATTCGTCCCCATTCCTCTCCTTGAGAAACCTCAACTGTTCTTCAAGTTCTGCCTGAACACTCTTTGTAAGATACTTGAAAGATGACATTGCAATACATTGGGAAAAATAAAAATCACCTCAGTGATGTTTTCCTGACACAGATAGTTGATTAATATGACCCTAAGTATATCTTCGGGATTGGTAAAGTCAGCAAGCAATTGCAGAAGAGGTACTTCTGAGAATAAAATGGATAACCAGCACCTTTTATTCGATGTGATACTCAATACCAACCAAGAGGAGAATGCTGTAGCAACTTTTGCTCCAGTTCAAAGAGCACATCCAGTTTCCGCTGTTTGATGTGATCAAGAAGGGTGGTGGCAACATTTGTATGCAAATCTATCAGTCTTTTTGCCTCCAGTAATTGGGGAAGAGACGTTACGGTAGATCCCAACTTTGCGGTGGTGTCTGATAACAGTGACGAGATAGCAGCGTCTGCTTCATTACCCTCCATTCCCTAGAGAAAAATTAAGGTAGGAAGGAAGTTTCAGACCCATTTCCAGATTTTGAATAGATAAAGAACAGGACAGCTCATACAGAAAATCTTAAGGTAACAACTAGGTACTATTTTAATATAGATCTAAATTCATGAAATTCGAACGCACCATGGCGTGTTTTAGTCGCTTAATTTCATCTTCACTGCTTCGATACGCCTCCAAATCCTCCTGAATAGCCTCAGCTACGAGTGGGAAAGCACTGCCCTTAAGCAAACAATGTAAACATTTGCAGAGAAAAGAAAGTAATAATACATACCAAGT